CTAATAAACTTCAGTATGCACAAGTATGAACTCCATGGTGGTACAGAACTTGGCCAATGATTTGTTGTCAGCGTGCCCACGTTGTTACCTTAAGAATCTCTTTTTTGGTTCTCTAATAGGTGAATGAATTCTTGTATGTCCTGCTCCTGTAGCAGTCTGGCACTTCTGGGGCACCCCTCCACCCCAGCTTTGTCTTGAGCAAGCTGTAAAAACCACTCACTAAGGATAGCAGGAAGAACATGAGGATTTTGCTGGAGAGGATGAACTCAAATTTCAACTTTCTTACCGCCTTCTGCTTCCACCCTATCTTCTCAGGTCCTGTGTTCCAGTTTGGAAGTAATACTTCTAATTTCAACTTCACGAGTAACCCAGCAGTATTTACTTTTGGTGCGAATCCTTCTGCACCAGCAGCACCGGCACAGCCTTCTGGCTCTTCAGCATTCTCCTTCAACCAGACTCCAGGATTTACAGTGGGGTAAGAGACTATCAGAATTTCCCTTGAGCTTCGGGTAATATCCATGGACAGTGTTCAGCCTCTGCTGCTGTTAAATCACGAGGTGTGCAGATGAACCTTGGAGTTTGAAACTATATTGGGCATCCTGCCCTCCATTAGCCTGACTGGCTAAGCAACAGTATCTTTAAAGGAGCCTAGCTGTCAGGAATGTTTGAAATTGTCTTGTTCTTGAAAAGTAACCTTTGTATCTAGCCGTTACGCTGCTACTTAGAACCTTCTGAGTAAGAGAGATTTAATTGCTTTTGGTTTCTGGAACTCTCTTCCTCCCGTTGCCAGACGGTAACTAGTGAGACAAGACTATCAGACGGTTGTTCTGGGATATCTACTCAGTGCTGCTGCTGAATTTCCAGCTACACTGTCCTAAACTCTGCACTACTAATTTCTTTTGATAGGAATAATGGGAAAAATGTTTTCTCTGCCTCTGGATCTTCGGTGTCTGGTCGGAAGATCAAGACTGCAGTTAGACGTAGGAAATAGCCGCCCGGTTGGTCAGTACCTCTGGAAGCAGCTGCTCCCCCGCATCGCTCAGTCGTTGGGATCGTACCTCCTGCTGGGTTAGCTGAAGTCAGATCTGCCCAAAGGAACACGAACTCCGCTGCCCCCTCCTTCCCCCCTCCCCCCGACTAGGTTTTTCTTTCGGTAAGCAGTAGAGTTGGCACCGAGGCCGTTCTCAAGCAAAGCTCTTTAAGACTCCAGCAAGTTCCCTCTCCCCCCGCCTCGGCATGGTGTGGCTGTACCGCGCGGAGCCTGCGCAGCGAATGGCTTTCCAATACCTCCTCATCTGCACCGCCCCGGGCTGGACTGGCGGCGAGGGATGCTCTAGAGTAGGGAATGGCGGCAGCGGATGACTTCTATGCTGAGTTTGTGCTGGTGTATGTGTGAAGTGAGTGAGTTTGGGTGTATCGTGCACTAAAATTTTCTGATAGAGGAAGACTGATTAAAGGATGATCCATGCTAAGGACTTGTTAGATCTGTAGTTCTTCATTTAATAATTATATGCTATTTCTATATTTTCATTCTTACAGCCCTTTATCACCTGTCTCGCCTTTGTTATTTTATTATGAAATGTGTAAATACGATTTTGTTTCTCTATGTACTTTTTGGCATAACAAATCTGTGAAATTGAAATTTTAATTTTGTGTGTTACGGCCATTTTTGTTTAGTATCGTCTCAGATTTTATGTAAATCCCATTATTCAAAGTTGCCTAAATCCATTTAGAAAATCTTTAAAATTGGGAATTCTTAAAGTAAGTTTATTGGCTTTTCTGATCCATTTTTGTTTGGACCAAAAACCAGTATTGTACAAAGTATTAAGTATATATTTTTCTATTTACTGAAATGGACTGTGGTGACTTTGGATAATAAGGAAAAGTTTAATATTAAAGCCATGTTTATTACAGTATAATTAATTAACATGTTAAACCATGGGATAAATGCCATCAATAAAAACTACGAAATATCACCTGGCAGTTTTAACTCTCCATGAAGGCAGCTGCAAGAGGATGAGATGATTCACACAACCCCAGCGACGTCACATCCTTCCTCCACCCTCTGCTTACTGACGGTGATGCAAGCCCTCTGGAAGCATCTCATTTACTTGGAGTAAGCTTGTTGGCTTAGGAAGGAGGGGTTTATTGTACAGACTTCAGCGTGGAGCCCTCTGTCAGTGTGTTGGCTGGCTGCAGTGGTTGTAGTTAATTTTTACAGAGCTCTCTGAAGATAAGCTTGTGTTGTAAACATTCACCACCACTCTAATTGAAGAGGAAAAAGTCCACCCAGTCTTAAATGAGTAATCTGGGGGTTTTCCACTTTTGTTGCAATTCGAGGAGCTTCTTGGAGAATAGTCATTAGTCTAGTAAAATGAGAGGAAATGCTTTTGACTGTCTGGGGACTACAGCTGAACTGCTGCTAAGCTGCAGCATCCAGTTCATGGTTGAGATCAGACTGCTGCCTCCATCTGGAACTGAGGAGAGCTGCAGAAGTGCAGAAGCTCTGTCTTCATTAAATGAGACACTTGGCTAACCAAGAACTAGGCTTGACAGGAGGACAAAGGTGAACATCAGGAGTAGGGCTCCAAGCACTGTTTCTATAAACAGAAAATATTCAGCAGCTAGGCTTTCAAAACAAACACTTAAGCTGCTATTCAGTCCCCTCCTGTCACTGTAGCTGTGGAGGGATTATAGGTGGTAATGCACCTCCAGATGCCTGAATCTGAAAAAGCCACAGATTTCACTTTTTCCTCCACTTTATCACCTGCCAGGTATTCATCCTACACAGAAAAAAAACCCTGCATTTTCAGTGCACCTTGCCTAGGGGACACACTGAAAGCCAGGAGCTGCAACAGCATAATGTGTACGTACTTCCTTGGACAGGCTCCATGTTCTTGAGTTGTGGGGTTTTTCTTGCCTGCATCTTGAATCCTGGTTTCTAGGTCACTGCTACAGTAAATAGAAACAAAAGTTTCTATTGTTTTGTTTGTATTCCAACTGAAACTGTAAATAGGCACCACTCACCCTAGAAGGGACTTTAGTTCTGTCAGCTTTAGCTTCTGCTGTGCCTGAACTTTTTAACCAGTGCTTAAGTCAACAGTGCAATTATCTGAAAGAAAAGCAAAGTGGTATCTCAAGTTGTTTCAGCTAAACATATTCACTTCAGGTGGTCCAACATCCTCAAAAGGGTGCTGTAGTCAGGCATTTTATTTGTTAATAACTTGTGTAAAACAATAGTAAACCTTAACATTACGAGGTATTTTGATACAGATACTTTCTGCTTATATGAGGACTTTAAAGTGTTTCCTAGCAAAGGCAACTGAATTTTTTTTCCCTCCACTTCAGGAATATCTAAAAGTCATTATCTGAAGTGATAGTGGCTTCATACTGGAGAGGTAACTGATGGGAAAATGTCCTCCTCCCACTATTAAGCAGAGGCTGTGGTCCTGAGGCAGCATTGTAAATTAAGATCTGAACCCATAACACAGGAGAATATCTCTTGTCAAACTAAAATACTGCACCATATTAACACATTACTGAGTTAAGTTATTTTACAAGAAGACAAGATAACCAAGCTCTCTAACATTTCTGTTCCCAACCAAACCAGGGTGAGAACTTCAGCCACTGAGTGGCAGGTTAGGCCGAAAGAAGGGACACACAAAGACCGGGCTCTAGAAGGATTCTAAACTCTTACTCAAATTTTAATAAAGCATTAACACTGTTGCTTATATTCCTTTCCCAAGATACTAATAACATGAGAATAAACAAATTATCAGTGCTATATAATCATGCAAAATATTAGGTTTCTTTATTTGGTATTTAAGTTACTCTGAATATACAAATAATTAGCCAGAATTATAAAGTGGAAATAACCAGTATTTGTACTTCTGTAGACTTATACCCACAACACATTTCAGTTAATGTTTTCTGCATGCTCCTGAAACACATTCCTTCCTTTTCTTGGTATTATATGCAAGAAATAGACAAGTGCTTTCACTCCAAACAGAAGCAAAGGAGTTACCTTTCCTTAGCATGACTCGTACTGTTCATAGCTCTGAATCATTTACACACGCCAAGTCACCAGCACTGCAGTGCATTCCCTTCCCAGAGAAGCAGCAGCCATTATCTCACCTCTGCTAATCCTCTGGCGTGTGAAATAAGTGACAATGCTTGAGACAACCATGCAAATAAACTTCTCACATTCATTTTTAATAAAATACTTAGAAGTGGTGAAGGAATACGATCTGTGAAGCAATAAGGGACACGATAAACACTGCTCACCTATGGCAACTCCTACACCCATGGCAATTTTGATTTGCCTTACTGCCTAATACTGCAGTTCTCTTCCCCTCAGTTTGTTGCATGAGTTCAGCAATGGCTTGGAGAACAAAACGATTTTTCTAGTTACCTGCCAACATCCAACACTGTAGGAGCAGCATTTCTTTTAGGGTGGAGTATTCCTAGGTGTCTGCTTCCCACAGGGTGATGGACAGAACAGCTCCTTTCTGCAGTTAAAACAGCCACTTCCTTTCACCTCAGTCAGTGGTTAATACTTCCAGAAGCGACGGATATTGTTTCTCCCAGACTTCTTTGGCATTTGTGAAAACTCCCAATACTTTGAAGGTAGCTGCTGGCATCATACCAGAGCAAAACATTTTCTTTAGCTTCTGAATCAGTTCCTAGTTCATTTGGGCAAAAGATTCTGACAGACACCTCAATTTCAGTTTCAGGGTAGGTCTTTGTTCACCGGGGGTGGGAGGGGATGTTCAAAACCAGTCTGGAAATCTCATCTTTTGGTATCATCTGACTCCATTCCTTCTTACCACAATAGTCCCTGCTACAATATCATAGGCTGTTCTGTTGTGCTGGAAAAACAGCAGTGTAATGAATGCAGGAAAAAATGAAGCAATAGAAAAATTCTTGATCAAGGCTCGTATTGTGGACCTGAAATGAGAACACAACATTCAGTGTCTTGTTTTCACTTTTCTGCTTGTACTAGTTAGCTTACTTTCAACTGTAGTGCCTGTTTTGCACAGCACAGAAATCAATCTCCAGAGTTCCGAGATTACTTTACCACCCAACATGAAAACCACTCACGTGGCTGATTAACTGCCATTTTATTCTTAGATCACAGAATCTTAACAGCTCTTGCAATCCAATTATTGCAAAGATAGAGAATGGTGTATTCCCTTCCAAACCTCACCCCAGCCAGGAGCACTCACGTTGTCATGCTGACGTTGGAGGATGGGATGACCAACACGCGGCTGGGCGCAACGAGCACGGACGTGTCGCACGTCACGACTCGCAGGCCGAGCAAGAACTTCCCTGGGGTTGCCCCACCAGCTCCCCAGATACAGATGATCTGTAAAAGAAAAGTTATCTCAATTCCACACCACACCGTGCTGCTGACTGGTCTAGCAAACTTGGTTCTCAAAACTGAACGTCATAGGCTTCAATATAATCCAAAAATAGGATTTATAGGCCAATGCTGACAGGTTCTTTTTTCACATTTCCTTGACAACTCTTAATTCTAAAATTTATGTTTAGAAGTAGTTACCTCATAGACGCAGACTAATAACCTGTAGATAAGAGCTACTATCATCATCTTCTGCAAATCTTCCATGGACGTGTCTTCATCTATTTCTTCTATGATGTAATGCATGGCAAATTTAGAGATGTCCCTGTTCAAAAGAAGGCCAAACTTTAAAACCATCCTCCTCCCAATACCAACATTACCCCTCTAATACTAAAATCCACTCCTCCAGCTCTGGTATTAGGAGAACAAAGCTCCTTGGCTTCTCCAATACTAAACAAGCCATTAAAATTCAGAACGCTGAGTTCCCTTCCAAGCTGCTGCCTACTTTGCTTTGTCTTTTTAATTAAGAAAAGATCATTCTTTATTACCACTTTTGCACAATGGTGTTCCTGTGTAATGAGCTGCAGAACTGCCCTGAAAATTCTCACACTTCTTAGGAGATAGATAGATAAATTCTGCACCTTGGTGTGCAAGAGGAAGTTCTTAAAGCAACTGAAACATTCAACTGTTTGTCCTGACAAGCCTATGCAAAGCATCGATTTGTAGTCAACCCTGTATTTTCTCAAGGTAGACTCTACAGATTTTTCTCATCTGATACCTGGAATGGATGTACTTGCAGCAGGACTTGTCTCTCACGCATCCAATGAGAACTACTACTTGCAGAGAAAAGTGCAGTCCCACTTTGAAACGGCCCATCTGCTTTGTACTGCTCACCCTCCTCTTTATTCAGACTTCAGGATCCCAAAAGATAAGGGATTAAGAAAATCGTGCGGCACAACCTGCACCTCCCTTCAATACAACCTTGGCCTGAAGTCTCTGTCCTAAGCCTGTGAAGATGCATTTCATTTTTTTTGTGGAAACACCTCATTTAAACCTCAAGCACACCACATCTCACAAACAAAAAACCCAACAGCCCAAGTTAATCACAAGCAACTCACGGCCTTTTGCAAAAGTGGTAAAATTGAATATATTATAAATTAATTGAAAGAGATTCCCTCTCTTTCCATCACCTTCAGTACTTTACAGAAGCAATACACATATTTTTACCCCCATCTTTTCAGTACTTCACTTTGGGTCATTCTCAGCCTACTTAAACCAAAATGCAAATAAACGCTGCCAGGTTAGAGCTGGAGGTTTTGGCAACAAAAGAGAACTCATAGACTTTGGCAGTTTAATCCCATGCTTATCTGAACAAAAATGATGGATCATTTGCATTGACATATTTATTGGTTTGGATTTGACCCTCTTCCACACATCTTTCAAGAAGTAGTTTAAGATGTCTCAAAGATGTTATTTGAATAGTATTAATCACGATTTCGAAGGTTCCTGAGCAGAAAACTTGAATTCTGAAATGTGTTTGTACAGTACTGGAATTGCTGACTACACCAAGCTTTCTCCTGATCAGACTGAAATATTTGATTACACCAACCCAAAACAGAACTAAATGAGCTATGGAGTAAGATACCTACAGTTAAAGAGGCAGGTGAAAAAGTCGTCTTTGAGGTAAATTATTATATCCGAGTATAAAATGAGAAACAATCTTAATCATACTTTTTAAGAAACCAAACTTATGCCCAGTAAAGACAGCAGCATTCCCAGCAGTTGGGCTGTATTTTAGAAGTACACACATACCTCACCTACAGAATCTATTTTTTTTTTTTTTGTGGTGCCTTAGCATTGTTTTGGTTACAAATCTATAACACAGCACTACAAGAGATGCCCTGAAGAACATTAACCCCATCCCAGCCAGTACATTTTTAAAGGCTGCCTAAAAAAAACCCCATGTTTATTTGTCAATGTTTTTTCTTTGAAAATTTTAAAGGATTTATTTTAATGGATTTAAAAAGAAATCTTGGCCCCTAAATAAGAGTGCCAGACCTATTTACCCTTAGTAAGGACTCTGTGAGCCTATGAAGACGCCTGTATAAATTCCTTGTTTCCATCAGCTGACCCCAAATTGGGAAGTATTTGAAAGCAGGTTAACTGAGTGGTGCTTTTTCATCAACTTTCTGACAGTTCTTAAGTGCCACCATGTGCATCAACATACTCTATATATCCTTCATGACACCTCAAAGAGCATGGAGAGCATAAAGCTGTACGTAGCAAAGCTTCAAATTGTTCAACTTACTTTATTCCACTGAGGTGCATAATACTTAAAATGATGGTTGCCTTTATAAAGAACAGGATAAAAAAGTCCACCATCTCTGCTATGAACCTGTGTGCCAACGAAGGGATAACGAACTCCCGACCTGGAACAGAAACAGTTCAACGTTACCCAAGTTTTACTGCACTACAGTAAAAAAAAATCCACCTGACTAAAGAACAAAAAGTACACTGAAGATGCATCAATTTTTGTGTTCTTTTGTTTCGAACAGCCTAGTAGAGAACAGAATTCAGGAAACCTGAGAGCTGAGATAAAAGGAAAATTAGATCCCCTATCACAACTCTATCACCCCTCACTAGCAAGGCTTCCGTACGTACCAGCTCTCTCAAAGTAAAACACAGCCCAGTTTGTCTCCAGTCAGACTCAGGAACAGGAGTGGATGAAAATATTACTCATACTTGACATTAATGTTCCTACAGATGGCAGGACAGATTACAGAGATGATAACAAACCACAGCACGCTGCCCTGCCACGAGCCAGAAAACTGAACACACTTCCCCCGTCGAGTGGGCCCAGTGCAAACACACACTGAGCAGCCACAGTTAACAAGCTTTTGTTGCTAATGCTACCTCAGGTGATTAAAGCAAAGAAAACATTGAAGAGTATCCTAGAAAGCTGCCAATGAAGAGTGTTGCAAAATAACTTGATCTGGACCCACCTACTCCTGTATTTCCTAAGGGACAAATGTGACTTTTCACACAAAACCATCAGAACTTTGGCTGCTGAGACTGACGCTGCCAGGCCTGGCCTCAGGAGCTGCGCAAGCAAAGCCAAAAGCCCACAGCACTCGGGTGCTCTTCAACTGGGCTAAGTTTAATTACAGAGTGATGAGGGAAGAGCAAGTTCTTAGTTAACAAGCCACATATATAGCTTTATTTCATACCTGTTGTATCAATCACCCTGCTTCAATACTATCAAGTAGCATGACTGTGACAATACAAATGTAACGCTAAAATGGATTCCATTCTCATCCTCAAAGTACATCCAGCTTGTCCATTAAGTTCTGATTCAAGATGCTTCACCTAAGGCAGGAGGGAGCAGAGCCAGGTCCCCAGTCCCAGCCTGGATGCACAGCACCAAACAAAAGCATTCCTGTGCTCTGTTAAAAGGCACGTTTGCTGAAGTTCATAGCACAGTGTCACTTTAAATACCTTAGATTTGATGACTGAATAAGGAAAGGGCTAAGAAAACAAGTACTGAAATTATGTTAAACTCCATCATATTAGGAAACCTTGGCAACCCTTAGGCTCCAGCAGATTTCCACTGCAGTGACACGAGATGTCCCTCCTATCAGAAACCTGCTGTTTTGCCAGGGGTTACTACTGGTACAGCAGGGACAGCCAAACCCAATACGTATTCCAAAGTCTAGAATCTTCCATCAAGCTAGAAATAAAGATGGGCTTGCACCAGTCAGCCCTGGGGCAGTGAGGCCTGGGTGCACTTTTTGCCCTGCTGCTCCCAGCAGAAGAGCAGTAACCTCCTGCAGCAAGGCAGGGAAGGGTGAGGGGCAGAGGCATCTTAAACCAGGAGGCCCATCCCCAAAAAGCATGCTGCTGCTCTGACGCATGCCTGCAGGCAGATTGAACTGCAAGAGGCACTTACCAATTCCACTCTTCATCCTGGTTTAAAATCTGCAACATTAACATAAGCTGTCACTCACTTCAGCTTACGTAAGCACACGGGGCTGTAAACTGCAATGGTGTAGGCACAGAGACATGACCTGCCCTGCCAAGCCTGCTGTGTGGGCAATAATCTGCAGCAGGAAAGAAGGAGCTGTAATCACTTTAGCTGTTCCAGATACATCCCTCTGCAATCTGGAGCCAAAGCAGGAGCACAACAGCCTTTGTTCAGGATTCTATCAGATCACTGCATCACGTCCAGAGGTCCCTTAAGAAGGCTGGGTGTTGTAATTGCATTTAGCACCCAGAATAACCTTGTTCAGCAGCATGAAATGCTGTTGGAGTCCTAAACTGCCTTTAACAGACAGAACTAGTTCCTGAAGAACTAGGTTAAAAATCCAAGAGACATTTCAGTCTTGCCTTTGTCCACATACTCTTTTTCAGTGACTGGCAGTGTCTGTTTATAAGCAGTCTATAACTCTGAATCAGGGCACGATAAAAGAAAACACCACTTTGTGTTATGGTCTTGTTTAAACAACATCTGCTCAAAACTACAAGGAAAAAAAGCAAGTTCAGAAGCCAGCTCCCCTTCACATCAAAACAAAGAAAAAGCAACTAAGAACGTTTTCCCCTCACGCCCATCCACTGATAAACAATGTCACAGATCTGCAACGCTGTACTTTGCCCCGCAGAAAGAAAGAAGATCTCGTTTTGCTCCCAAGTCCTTCAATAGTTCTAATCCACAGTTTTCTACCATTACTCAAGGTGCTACCAGACACTGGGAGAAAGTCACCTAGGTGTTCCTGGACTTGGGAAGAACCGTTTGTGCTCCGCGTTTTATCTCTGATCTGATCAGGACAAGTTTGTCTTACGCACGACAAGAATAAACAGAGGCTATGCCTGCTCCTCGGTATTTACAGCCCTAACAGGCTGCTGTTTACCTCAGAGCCTGCCGCTGGATTGTGGAATGGAACCATGTTTCACGGACACTGAAGCAGAGAAGTAAAATGATTTTTTGAGCACCTAGACCCCACAAAATCTGCTGAAGTTCGTGTAGATTTCGTTAACCGAATAGATTACTTATAAAGCTAGATGCATTACAAGCCTGCGACCACAAGAATAAGTTTCACTGGAAAAAAATAAAACTCCTTCACGTCCACGAAAACACCTGACAAGCACGTAAAGTTGTAAGCTGTGCACAGAAGCCAAGCCTCTCCAAGCTGCTTACGGATGAAGCTCGGGGTTTACAAACGCGGCACTGTGCTGTCAGCGCTCCGGAGGCGCAGCCCCGCGACCCCCCAAGGCTGC